TACTACAGTTTGTCCGTGTGGGGCATCCCTTCTGCTTTTCCCAAATTGAGACATCAAATTTCCTTACTCGCTGGAAGCATGGCCCTTGTACTTTCCCAACAAAGAATAAGGCATTTCTCCATCTGTCACAGTAGCTTCTGCTCAGGGCCAGAAATATCTCTCATCTTAGCCAAAACATTATACATAGCGTCTGCCATTCTCAAATCAGCTCTTAGAAATGGGTGTTATATCTGGAATCTCTGGAGCTAGAGCAGGCATCACTTCCAGGAACTATATGCTGATAAAGATCTCTTACCCTCCTGCAAGACTAGGACGGGTGCTGAATCTCACTGTCAATCACACGAATGAGGAAATCAGGACAGAGAAAGCACAGGTATACTGAGAAAAACAACAGAGAAACTTCTAAGTGGTTCTCAATTAAAATGGTAAAATTTATGTTATATTTGTATTTTAGCACAATTTTAAAAATTTTAAAGTTTAAAAATATTACTGAGGCTACTTGGCAAATTTATGCCATATTTATATTTGAAATGTCATATAGTAATAGAAAAGGAAAAGAAACATTCGGATTCAAAACTTTTTTGTGACTAGACTATAGGACACTAACTCCAATTAATTAGGTACAAATGAAAAATATCAGGAAATGGTCCCTTGATGATAGTGACTGCACCCTCTACTTTGTGAACATAACTTTAGTGGCTGACATAACACTTTAAATTTTCCTCTGTGCGGAATAGTCAAGAGACCCTGTGTTTCTTCTTATAATAAATATGAAGCTCTTATAAGTCCCTTAAATTTGACTGGACACTAACCAGCAGTAAATCATGATAAATTAACAAATGTGTAGACAGAGCCCTGAGGTAGGCAGAGAATAATTATAAGACCAGGAATTTACAATCTACTTGTGCAGAAAAGATTAGCACAAATAAACCAAAATAGGGTTGTAACAAGGTTAAAAAAAAAATCACTTACATATAAAATATGTGGTGCATCCCTTCTGCTTTTCCCAAATTGAGACATCAAATTTCCTTACTCGCTGGAAGCATGGCCCTTGTACTTTCCCAACAAAGAATAAGGCATTTCTCCATCTGTCACAGTAGCTTCTGCTCAGGGCCAGAAATATCTCTCATCTTAGCCAAAACATTATACATAGCGTCTGCCATTCTCAAATCAGCTCTTAGAAATGGGTGTTATATCTGGAATCTCTGGAGCTAGAGCAGGCATCACTTCCAGGAACTATATGCTGATAAAGATCTCTTACCCTCCTGCAAAACTAGGATGGGTGCTGAATCTCACTGTCAATCACACGAATGAGGAAATTAGGACAGAGAAAGCACAGGTATACTGAGAAAAACAACAGAGAAACTTCTAAGTGGTTCTCAACCTCAGCTGCAAGTTGGAATCACCTGGGGGGCTTTAAAGAAATATTCGTTGGCTGGCCAGTTGGCTCAGTTGGTGAGAGCACAGTGTTGATAACAACAAGGTCAAGGGTTTGGATCCCTGTGCCTGCCAGCCACCAAAAAAAAAAGTAAGAAAGCAAGCAATACTCACACCTGGGTCCCCTCACTGGTGCTGTTCACCATATCATCTGATTCTAATTTCCAACCAAGGTTGGTGGGAACTGTTGATTTAAGGGAAGGCAAATGTCCTCATTCTTAGGTCAGCCTTCCGGGACCCTGGCTGGGATCACAAATTACTGCAAAAGCTGATCTTAGGTCAGCCTCATTCTTAGGTCAGCCTTCCGGGACCCTGGCTGGGATCACAAATTACTGCAAAAGCTGATGGCTTAGAGGTAAAATAGTCTTGAAAAATTACTCTCCAAGATGACAGTCAAGATGTGATCATATTCCATCACTAGAGGGCGAAGTTACTTCACTTTCAACATTTAACATTATTGCCTCAGGTTAAGAAGTCACTCAGGTACATTCCATTTTTTAAAAAAAAGCTGAATGATGAAGTTTAATGAAGGTATACTAAAACTTGACTTTCATGATATCAGTTCCTTCCTATTTATGAAATGACTTTGAGAGGCTATTAAAAGTGCTGTGTCCTTTCATCTTCCTAAAGGGTTTGTATTTTATAGGATATATTGTTTGTACAAAGTGCATGGCTGTGCTGTGTATGTAACCTGTTACCAAGCAGGAGGTAGGGCTTAGTCATATTTAATTAAGATCTGATTGCTTTCTGTCTCAGAAAGTGAGACAATAAACACCTCAGTTTTAAAATCGTTTGATTTTTGTATCTTGAGATAGAAATGAGGCTTTACTAGCCAGCTCCCAGATGATACCAACACTGAAGTTGCTGGTGGAGAGCCACATTTTGAGTGACAGGAGGTGGAGAACCTAGGGGCAGACACCATGACTCATGTTCTCATGATATCCTGGGATGTTAACTCACACACTAACATGTCTGTCTGTCTATCTATCCCCACGAAGGCAGAGAGATCACAAATCCAGGGGGTTCCAAATTGGCTACATATATGAGAATCACTTGTTTGCTTCTTAAAAATAAAGATTCTTAGTCTAACCCCCGGGAGATCATAATCAGTAGGTATAAATGGGGCCCAGGTATTTGTATCTTCCCCACCCTTGAGCCTTGACTCAGGAAGGAATTTGTATTTTTAACCAGAGCGCAGGAGATTTTAATGGAGTCTTCTGCTTTGAAAAATCACTGTTCTTGTCCAAAGTTTTTACGTGACAAAGAGACCGAGGCTGGAAGTGAAAAAGGGACCTTTCAAAGTCAGTGACAGAATCAAAGCAGGATCCAGGTTCTCCTGGCCCTACTAGATTGAGACGCTGCTGCTTGACAGGCATTAACATGTGTGCTTGATCCCTACTCTTATGCTATGCCATTGACAGGTGCAGTAGCTAGTTTCCAAAAACCGCCCACAGTGAACCACATGTCCCATGCATTATCCCTTCCCACATTCAATCTAGGCTGGCCCTGTGACTTGCTCGAACAGGCAGAATGCTCTGGAAATGATGTTGTGTAATTTTGGAGGCTGGGCCATAAGAGGTTTGCAGCTTCTTGTGCATATTTCATCTTGGATGAACCCAGCCATCGTGCTGTAAAGAAGCTCAAGGAACCATGGGGAGAGGTCCATACAGAGAAGAACCAAGGCCTGGTCAACATCTTCAAGTGTGCTCTTGGCCAACAGCTCTACACCAATTTGCCAGCTGTGTGAACAAGGCCACCTTGCACCTTTTAGACATACCACATCAGTGGAGTGGAACTATCCAGTCAACTCACAGAATGATATGAAATAATAAATTGTTGTCTTAAGCCTCCAAGTTTTGGGGTGGGTACTGCACAACAATAGATAGCTGAAACAACAGGAAAAGAAATCTCTTACCTATTAGGCTGGAAAGAGATCTGGTCATAACCTGTGAGTTCACACAAATCCTTCTCAAGCTCTCGGAAAAGTTGCTGGTATCCTTGAGCTTGATCCAGAGGCACAAAGGGGTGGATATTTGCAAATTCTTTCCATGTGACAGGCTGGAAAGCAAGAGGGGAGAAAAAAATGGATGCGTACTTATTGTAATAGCAGTAACAATAATAACTTTAATAATGATGGCGATAACGATACCAGCAAGTGCTAATGCAAAGAATACCTACAATGTGTCAAGCACTGTTCTGAGCAGTTTATCTACCTATTTTTTATACCTCCCCATTTTAAGCACTTTAAATATGTTAATTCACTTAAGTCTCACCATAATCTTATGAGGTAAGTGCTATTACTATCTTCATTTTACAAGTGGGACATAGCTGCCCAAAAGGAGAATTGATACAAAAATATTTTTCTACCTTTTCATGCAATAAAAGGTCCCAAAATAGATTTGCACCCATGAAACACAGTGAGTTGCTTTAGGTATGATTTACCTAAGCTCTTACATAGCACATATGTTATTCTCTGTCTTCATTAAGCAGAACAAGACACAAATGTAAGAGTGAATGGGGAAAACCCTTCCTATCACAATATGAAATGATTTATTTTGCCTGATGTGATGTCACCTTAGGATAAACCTAAATAAAAATAAAAGAACAAGTTACAAAGCTAACTAAAATGGATCTTGACCTAATAGAGGTATTTGCCAACCACAACAGCAAGTTACACAAATCTTCTGTTGATTCAAGCAATAAATTTATACCTCAAATCCCTGCCTTTCTGACAGTGAATGGATTTCTACAGAGAAGGCTTGAGGTTCTTGATTCTGCCTGAGATTTACAACTACAAATTAATAAAATAAAAGCTTTTTACATGGCAGGTCTTAAAAAAAAAAATCTTACCTATAAATTTAAGTGATCAAATTGTGAGAAATATTAGAGTTTCTCCCAAGACTGGTGAACAGCGAGGTTAAAGGTTATTAAAGTAATTAGTAAATCACAGTCCCAGTAGCTTTCACTAGTTACTGGCTTCTGGACAAGCAAGAACACTGCCCCTACTAAGTACCCTCGTAACAGAAGTGACCTACTTACTGAGAGTTCGGATGAACTATTGAGCTTCATGGTGCAGGATCCCTTTAAGAAGCACATCCAAAATGTATCGTGTTAGTGATTTCCTACAGCCCATCCATCTATTAACCCTCACGTCTCCCCACACGGCTGCCCCTTTGTCCCTCTTGCAGCACGTTAGATACAACCCAAGAGCTGGGATCACGGTAGGGCTGGAGGGGAGAGGAAAGGCCACAAACAACTACCAGTGGAATCATGCTGTGAACGAGGGAGATGTCTTTGTTTTCCAGTTTCTTCATATACCGGACAATATTGGTTTCTGAGTGATAGCTGTGAACACAAAACACATGATTAGAGCCAATCAAACTAGATAAGGGTCCATACACATCCTCCTGAAAGATAAGACACACTGAGATCTACCTTTAGAATGCAGACCAATTTCAGCCCCGGGCAACATGTCAACTATCCATCAGAGAGATGGGCACGGAAACCCCACAAACCCCAGAGGATGCTCTGGACAAGAAACTGCCTGCCTGTGGGCATGAGAGGAAGTTGGGAAGAAGAAGATACAGGCTCCTGGGTATAAACTTCAGCCTGGCAACTATCCAACCAAACTCCCCTCTTCCTGACAGTGCCAAGGCAGCAGAGCCACCAGGAAACAAGGTGAGCTCTGCCCGAGTCAGGAAAGGGATCTTTCCGGTGGTGGTTTGTTAATGAGCCATGGCTGAGCCACACTAACCCAGGCCTTGCCACAGGTGGAGTCAGAAGCAGCTCACTATCAATCTCCCTAGCTTATGGCCACATCACAAATACAGATGTCACCCCAGCCACACGAACCTGTTGAACACTTGATGTGTGAGGAACGGGCTAGTTCTTTTGAATGAAGACCCTGGAATACCCCTCTGCTCCTCTCCCATGCTTTCAGCAACCAGTTCCTGCATGGAAAGACCACAGAAATTAAAAGGCAGAGCCGTGCCTGCAGCAAGAGTGGACACCCAGGCTTCAGGATGGCTGGGCCAAAATGGATCAAAGACATAAGTTTAAAAGCTAAAGTTATTCAATGTTTAGAAGAAAATACAGGGGCAAATCTGCATGAGCTTGGATTTGACAATGGTTTCTTAAATATGACAACAAAAGTATGAGGAACACCCCTTACCGCCCAGCTGCCCAAAAAAAAAGCATGAGCAACAAAAGAAAAAAATAGATAAGTTGGATTTCATTAAAATTAAAAATGTTTGTGTATTAAAGGACATCATCAAGAAGGTTAAGAGATGACCCACACAATGGGAGAGAATATTTGCAAAACATGTATCTGATAAGGGTTTAATACCGGAACATGTAAATAAATACATGGCTTGCTTCTCATTCCTCACCAGGCTGATAGTATGGCATCTTGAGCTCTCAGTGGGTGCTCCAGAAATATTCCTCTAATGCATAGATCGAATATCTGTGATTAAATTTAGTGCAGAATTCTAGAAGGAAGGAGCTTACTCAGTCCTGTTTAATTAATAAATAAAGTTTAAAAGAGAACGCTGTGATGCTTCTCTGATGATTTACAATTATTATCTGGTACTGAAGTGCTCTCTCAAAGAGGGCGCAGACAACCAAGACAGCACCATTCAAAACTCTGGAAGGTATTTCCACTTCTGGAGTAAAGGCTTCCTTTCATTGACACATTCAACACATTTCGTGAGTGGCTACTATGCACCAGGCAGCGCAGAGTGTTGTGATTAACACCTTGTCACAGGCCTCGGTAGCTACTGACCACTTTCTCTTTCACTCTCATCTCATGGATAGGTAATTCTTCCCTTACTTGTCCTTGCTGCTTCAACTTCATCATTTCAGAAACCAACTCAGTCTCACTGAAGTGCTTATAGTTCTCATGGTATCTGTCTCCTCCTGGCCTTTGTGGCTGCTTTTCCCAGTGTCTGGAATACCCCTGACCCCATCCTCTTTCTCCATTGTGACATCTTGGTCTGGATACCTACTACCCATCTTTCAAATCCCAGCTTAGGACAATTTCTTTCAAGCATTGGTGAGGAGTTCGTCCTCTGTGCTCACAGAGCATCTTCACACATCACCCATAATAAAATAACATGTCACCTGGATTGTAATCCTGCACTTGTGTGTCTAGATTGCCATCAGACCATAAGCTCCTTGAGGGCAGGAACCACGTCTAACTCACCACTGTGTCCTCAGGGCCTAGCATAGTACCTGGTACAAATTAGGTCCTCGATAATTATTTATTAAGTAAATGAGTATCATAATTTTCCCAGAATCGACATAACCAGGATGACACAAATCTTCATGAATGTCATGAATCTTCGTACTAGAAACAGTTTCAATTAAACACCATTAACAATCCTTCCAACTATCCTGGCTGCCTGGTCCTGGCTGGGGCCCTACAGCAGTGATCTCCAGCTATCAGTAGTCACAGTAGCAAGGGACAGTCAGAGGCATCATTTTAAGAACAAGCCTCCCAGTGTCACACCTGGGCTCCTCCTCCATCACGCTCAGGCCCACAAGAGGCAAGGTCACCCCTGACACTACCTCAAATAGTCATTAAAAGGAATGCATGTTTTTATTTTACTTACAGCTGATGACTCGCAGCCAAAGATCCACAACAAATCGTCCAGATCTTTTTCATTGACTGTTTCATCAAGAGAAATACCAAGCTACAGAAACAAAAATGAAATGCAAAATATCAGCTATAAACTACAAGATCAGTTGAGGAACCCTAAGAAAGTCAAAGGGCAGAAGGTGCCGAACAAAATCTCAGAGTTATTCCAAAATATCAGGGTACCGTTATATGCAAGTGGAGCCTTAGGGGAAGGCAACTAGGCCAGTATGAGACTTCACAAGGTGCAGTTTTGCAGGCCAACTCTCAACTCAAACAGTCCGGGACTGCAGGGCACTGCTATCAGAACTACGTAGGTGTTTACCTTTTCCTTCCCTTGCTTACTGTATTACATCACTTACCAGAGCCTTTACCTTGAACAGTCATACTGTGAAGAGAGGGGAATTATGAGCAAAATATGTGCCTTTGAGTCCCATATACGAAAACACAAAACCTTGGGGAAAGCTGAGGACGAATTATTCTTTATTTGAAAAGGTCACAGTATTCCAAACTGGAAATTAAAATGTTTACCAAAAAATAGACTATGCCCAAAGTTACAATATTATTATTATTTTAAATAAAGAGGAAAGCTTTTAATGAGAAAAGTCATGAAAATTTAGAGAACTGGTAAAAATACTGAAAGCCTGACTTACTGTGCCATCCATGAAGAGCCGCAAGTTGACGCGCCGCAGAGCGGCCCTGCTCAAGACCTCCCTCACGGAGCAGCCACACTGCACCTTCAGGGTGTCAAAGAACAGGTCGTGCTGCAGCTGGTGCCCTGCCCGCTTGAGACCTAGATGAGACGGGAGAGCCACCAATCTCTGACACAGAAACCTACTCCTCGGTTAGGGTTATGCCATTTCACAGAGAAACAAAGAAGTAAGCAACTTCTACTACAGTTTGTTCCTGGTTGCGGCCAGCATGTTGGTGGCTGCTTTAGGAAAAAACTGTGTGTTTATTACCATGCTACAGAAAATTATAAAATACATATAAAAGGGGGAAAAAATCAGCATCAGCACCACCCACGAAAAAGTACTGCTCACATTTTGGTGTATATTCCTTTAGAAATGGGGTGTGTGTGTGTGTGTGTGTGTGTGTGTGTGTGTGTGTTACATCAGATACATATATATATTTCTAGAAATGGGGTGTGTGTGTGTGTGTGTGTGTGTGTGTGTGTGTGTGTGTGTGTGTGTGTGTTACATCAGATACATATATATATTTCATCACACTTTTTTATAAATAATGTATCATAAACTTATTTGCTTTCTATAGATTGATATTCACATTATTATTTTTAGTGGCTGTATAATAGCCAAACATATGGATATACCATACTGTAATTGCTTATTATTGGACAGTCAGGCTGTTCCCACTACTGGGCTATTGTAAACAGTGTTTCAATGGATATTCTTTACAACCTTATTTGATTATTTCCTTTAGATACATACCTAGAAGTAGAATTTCTGAATCAAATTGTTTAAACTTTTGATATGTATCATTCAAGTGCTAGCCATAAGAGTCATACCAACATTGGATCAGCATTCTTCTTAACCTTTACCAACGCAATGGTAGCAATACTATTTTTCTGTTTTAACTTACATGCCTTTGACTAATAGTGAGGTTGAAATTTTATATATTCATTGCCATTTATTTGAATGCTTATTTCTTTTAAAATTACATTTAATGTTCTTTGCCCATTTTCTTTTTTTGGGGGGGGCAGCTCACCAAAAAAACCAAGGTCTAAGGCTGAGCTATAACCAATGGAGTTAACTGGCCAGTCTCTTTGCCCATTTTTCTATCAAGATGTTCATCCTTTCTGCGTCTGGGAGTGAGAGGAGAGTAAAATCTCTATATATTAAAAATATTAATACACAGTCTATCATAGATGTTGAAAATATCTTCCCCAGTTTTTCATTTGACTTTTAATTTTGCATACAGTATTTGACATACATCAAGTTTTCAATTTTACTTACTCGAATTTATCAGTCTTGTTATGCCCCAAAGTTTTATTTTTATCTTAATTTTTTTGGTGGCTGGCTGAGCCCGAAAGTTTTAAAACAGATAACCGACTCACCTTCTGACAAAATCAAAGTGGCGTTATGTACCCTCCTGGCAATGTGCTCCAGCCCACGGGAACCATGGTAGATTGCAAACATGGCAGCCATATTTGCCAAGAGGGCCTAAAAGGATAGAGAGCATTTAAAGAATCACGCTAAACAATGTGATGGAAGATGGCTAGTGGGAAGGAGTAATTACGTTACTCGGGTTGCCAAAACTGAAAACAGGGATAAAGCAGAATGATCTGATTTCCTGCATTCTTTGTGATAGTTGGAGACCATTTATAATCTGCCTGACTACCTGAGGGGAAACACAGCATCTAACACACCCTGGGGTCACTAAACTAAACCTCTGGATTTGACCATTATAAAGGGGTTTCATCCATGCAACAGAAACATGTCACCCATAAGGGGGAAGATCAGGCTGCCATCAGACATTGAGGAACAACATTTAATGTCGAAAGGAAAAAAACAACAATCACAATAATACTTTGAACTTTCAGGAAGAGAAAAAAGAACTGTGGTTACTAGAGGTGGAAAAGGGGGAGGGGGTAAGGGAGAAATTGGTTAATAGACACAAAAAATGATGTTTTGTAATGATGAATATGCTAATTATCCTGATTTGATCATCACATATTGTACACAAATACCAAAACCACAAATATGTAGAATCAATTATGTTTCAATTTTAAAAAGATGAGTTAAAAAATAATGTTGGAAGACAGTGGAGCAATAAAGACCTCAGGGGAAAAAAGGGAGATCTGAGAATTTTATTCTCAATCAAGCAGTTCTTCAAAAATAAAAGTAGCAAGCAATTTTCAAACACACAAGAATTCAGGGAATACCATTCTCCTGAGACCTTAAATAAAACACTAGAAGCTGAATTTCGGTCAACCAAGAGATGAATGGACAGTCTGCGGCAAAAGACTGCCAAAGATGAAAACGCAGGATGCTAGGAAATAAAACCGAAACCCAAAATGAGTTGGCAGGAGACACACTAGAAAGAGAAAACCAAAACCTCCTGGCTTATCCCTGATGACAGCAAGGTCACCTTCTCAGGTAAAGACATCTCTCCTGATCATTGGATTGAGGTTTCAGAAAAATAGCTACAGAGAAGTGTGTTCTAGTGTCACCATAAATGGAAAGGAGCATCTGAGATAAGGGTGCTTCCATGAGGGGGTCCTCTATGGGGAGCAGGGAAGGACCCACTGCAATGGCATCTGGTGGGGAGAGATAAAAAGAGGATAGCTATGATCAGGAACCAAAACGAGCGACATCTTGGGGGGAAATGATGGCTCCTGCTTCTCCTCCTCTTGGTCTCATTCCCTCACGTGCCTTTCCACCCTAGAACCTGCCAATGTTGCCTTCTAAGCACTCACTAGCAGCCCAGGGAACTGGTCCAACTTCTAGCCTCAGACTCACCGCCCGCCCAGCCCATGCTCTTCTCCCGCAGTCCCTCCCATCTCATCAGTCCGGCAGCGTGGTCTCCAAAGCACTAGATCAGCAGCTCAAGGTCCACCTTCATGGCCATTGCCCCAGGGTGAGAAGGGGCACTTCACAGAACAGACCCTCCACTCAACTGAGAAACACAGTGCTTTAAAGCTGGATGATGCTCAATACTGGATCTATTTTGTTAGGTACACCTTTTCTGTGAAGCTGCCAGAAGAAATCTCTATGAAGCCAATGCAAAATAAGAAACAGTTTCCAAAATATGCCAGAAAGTGAAGTCAGCAGTCAATTAAAAAATTGGAAGGAGGGCTGGCCCGGTGGCGCACTGGAGAGTGCGCCGCCTGGGAGCGCGGCGGCGCTCCCGCCAAGGGTTCGGATCCCATGTGGAGACCGGTTCCCGCTCACTGGCTGAGTGCGGTGCGGGAGCAACACCGAGGGTTGCGATCCCGTTGCCGGTCAGTAAAAAGGAAAAAAAAAAAAAAAATTGGAAGGAAAAGAAGATATCAGAGAACAAAGAAATAGACCTTCTTGGATGAAAAGTTCCAGAGAAAGTGTAGACACTCTTGCCAACCCCTTACAACAACTGGAAATAAATACAGAAGCACCACAACACTTTACAGCTGTGGAGAAGGCAAGTCTGAAGTAAAGAATCCATGACATGCTGGCTGGTTCGCTCACTTGAGAAAGCCTGGTGCTGGTAACACCATAATCAGGGGTTCAGATCCCCGTACTAGCCAGACAGACAGACACAGACAGACAGACAGACAGACAGACACACACACACACACACACACACACAAGACAAATCTGTGACACACTGTGCCCAAATGTTCATGGTTATGCTGCTGGGGAACAGAAACCCAGGCCTGATGTTCACAGAATGCCCTGGAAGCCTTCATCACAACAGCTTTGAAGTTGGTTCATGTCCCTTTTTAATCTAGAGTGAATTCTTTCCACAATTAGGAGACAATATCAAGTAACTAAACAACAATTGATGAGATGTATAAAATCACTTTAAAAATCTTTGAAAGGTACTAGAATATCAAAAGAAGATCAAAGAAACAAAGATAGAAACTAAGAAAATTCAAATTTCTTTGATAAATCAGACAAACTTAAAAATACAATCAGGATACTTAAAGAAAGGCGTCAAACATTAACAATAAAAAGATACTCAAAATCATTAGTTATTAGGAAAATGCAAATGAACACCACAGTGGGATGTCACTTCACACCCACTAGGATGGCTGTAACCAGAAAGACAGGCAGTAACAAGTACAAGTGGAAATGGGGAAAAATTAGAACCTCCATACACTGCTGGTGAGGGTGTAAAATGGTGCAGCCACTTTGGAGAGCAGTCTGAAAATTTCTCAAAAATTTAAACATAGAATTATCATATGACCCACCAATTCCAATCCTAGGTATATACCCAAGAGAACTGAAAATGTATGTGTACCCACAAACTTACGCAGATGTGTTCACAGCAGCCTTATTTATAATATCCCAAAGTAGAAACAACCCATATGTCCATCAATTGATGAATGGGTAAACAAAATGTGGTACATTCATACAATGAGATATTATTCAGTCATAAAAAAGAATGAAGTGCTGGTTCATGCTGCAGTATGAATGAATCTTGAAAACATTATGCAAAGTGAAAGAATCCAAGCACAAAAGGCCACATGTTGTATGAACCCCTTTACATAAAGTATCCAGAATAGGCAAATCCAGAGACAGAAAATAGATTAGTAGTTGTCAGAGGCTGCAGGAAGGGGAGAGGGATGGAGTGTGAGTATTAAAAACCATTAAACTGTATACTTTAAATGGGTGAATTTTATTATAAGTCATATATAAATAAAAAAGCTATTGAAATAAATGTAAAGTATACTTCAATAGACCTGACTTTAGAAAAGCTAATGAAAGAGCTACTTGTGGTAGAAGCTGAGAAATAAGAGAATATAAAAAACAGGACATGATGAAAATCCATCTGTTGAAATGTCAGGGGTTAACAGAAAGATTTTTTAAAAAAACTCATTAACACACTTTCACCGATTAAAAAAAAATAGCCATGCTCTATCAATGATGCAAAACTAAGCGAAGTCCAGTGTGGACCCATAATGGCAACAGGAAAAGAGAAGAACTGAGAAGAACATGAAACAGTTGCTACAAGAAGCAGAAGCCTGGGGTCAAAGACATACAGCACAAGAGGAAAGACTCAGAAGTTACCAGCCATGTCCTAACAAAAAAGGATAATTTCATGCTTACAAAGAGAATGATATTGGAGTTAAGAGTGGTTGTTTTACATCACCAATTACGAAAAGGAACACATGAAAAAAAATAGACAACGGAGAGTCAGAAGATCACCCAAATGAGAAGACGAATTAGACAAGACAGTGCATGGCCATATCCGGGGCACTGCATTTGCACAGTTGCTACAAAAGATACAGACCTCTTACCACCCAAGCTAAATGTCAAAACAACAGCTATACACGAACTGGAAGAAATTAAGAAATAGGAACATAACTTTTATTCAACGTAGACAGCTCAAGTTCACGTGGAAAATGACTTTCAAACCTTGAAGCAAAACACTGAAGCCCTAAATGGACTTATGATCAGCCACCTTCTGGAAGAACATGGGCTGAAAGGGCAAGGCAGGCCCAGTTGGCTGCAGAGGAAGGTAAAACACATAGGCAGAGACTTCAGCACATGGAGGGTAAACTCCAGAAAGTAAAGGCATCGTGTAACAAACATTTGCTGCTCAACAGAGGAAAAGCCTAAAACAACTGTCTCCTTCCTGTAACACTGGAAGAGTTCTTACCTGAAAAGAGGCAGCCACCTTCCTGTGGCAAAAAATAATACAAGAAAACCAACCGAGGCAACTGCTCCAAACACCAGTGGCTGTAGAAACAACTATAAGAAAAACGTATTGACCACTGCCCTCCTTGGTGAGGCTTTCTAAATAAAACCCAACGGTAGACCATGGAGCCAATGCCCTGAGAGGAAAGAGCAGTATACCTCCCACAGAGGTGTCTGTGCAATCTCCCTCTTCCTCTGAACCCTAGTGGAAGAAACGCACCTAGAATGGATGGCTCCTATGCTCAGGAGTAGTCCTCCACCTGATCCTAGGGGCTGGCTGGGTTTCGAAAACCCTCTGACCCAAGCCTAGGAGAAACTTCGAGGTGGTCAGAGGCCCAGGCAGCTCATCCTCCCATATCCCATCTATTTCAGGAATGCCTATCATTAGTTCCCAGAAAGAGCACCCCATGACCACCCCAGCTGGCCAATTTGGACCATCTCCTCAAGCACAATCACCTCAAGCACCTTCACTCTGCCTTCCTCACCCCATTCTTGGAGAGCCCATTTCAGGAATGCCTATCATTAGTTCCCAGAAAGAGCACCCCATGACCACCCCAGCTGGCCAATTTGGACCATCCCCTCAAGCACAATCACCTCAAGCACCTTCACTCTGCCTTCCTCACCCCATTCTTGGAGAGCCCCTATTGCAGCCCTAAAAGAACATGTCCGAACCACCACCCATAATGGATCTGCCCCATGGTGAAGAATGCTAGAGACCCTGATCCCCCTCCTTTACACACATGCTTAAAATATATGTGAATAAAAAGAGTGGCCTCTTTGTCTTTCTCTAAGCTTAGCCTGTTTAAGATCTGAAGATGTGATTTTAGGTAAAACATAAACTTTTCATTTTAATATTAAACGCTTATGATGAAGTGAATGCATAGGTAAAGTGTGTGCATATAAAGAACACCAGTAAAATACACTGTATTCTGGTTCTGCCAAGACCACAAGGTTCTCTGCCAATAAGATCTTGCCATTTCTGGTATGCATGCTGCTCAGCAGGTGGTGAATGAATGAAGAAATGAGTGAATGAATGAGCAGCTCATTTCTGTAAATTGCAAGGCATTCAGTGGTCAGGTCAGATAGATGATTTACCTGCGCTGTACAGATGTTGCTGGTAGCCTTGTCTCTCCGGATGTGTTGCTCCCTGGTTTGAAGAGCAAGACGATACACTTCTTTCCCGGTGGCATCTCTGGACCGAGAATAAAGGATCCAGTTAGCACACATAATCATAGCACCAGGAGTTGCCACAAATGGACCTAGGTTTCTTCCTGCCTTGAAGTGAATTTAGCAAATTTATTTGGGTGTAAGTTCATAAAGAAATAATTTCCAAACTCTCCTCTGCCAAAAAGGAGTTCTGATTTTTAGGTTACACTTTGAGGCACCTAGATATACATACAATAAGGCTAGGAATCTTAGAAAGAAATGTCCCAGGAATTGCCCAGACTAATATAATGATGGTGAGTGAAGATTAAGTTTTACTCTGAGCTGTCTTGGCAAACACAGAAAACAGGGAAATACCTGACAAAACGGAATTTCTGTACTAGAAATACAAAGCAACCATATGGCTCTAAAGAAAAAAGAATCTTAATAGTCTTACCAGTTGTCTCTAAAATAACATTTTTCCGGGGCCGGCCCGTGGCTCACTCGGGAGAGTGTGGTGCTGAGAACACCAAGGCCACGGGTTCGGATCCCATATAGGGATGGCCGGTTAGCTCACTGGTGAGCATGGTGCTGACAACACCAAGTCAAGGGTTAAGATCCCCTTACCGGTCATCTTTAAAAAAATAAATAAATAAAATAACATTTTTCCTTCCCTAATACAATTAAAATTCAGAATTCTTAACCTCTATTTCATTAATCTCTGGGGTTGATTTTTCAAAAAGGTAAGAAGTTTGTTATAAAAGTCAGCTGAAGTCTGTCCGGTTAGCTCACTTGGGAGAGTGTGTTGTTCATAACATGAAGGTCAGGGGTTTGGATCCCCACACCAGCCAGTCACCCCCCACCCCCAAAAAAAAATTCAGCTGATGGTAATATACTAAACTTTTTGAATTAGAAAGCCCTCTGCCTCATCCCCTCTGGTGAAGACACATCACTGAAAGAAGCTAATGTACGGCTACTTTAAGAAACTATTACTTTTACACTAAAAAGCAAAGGGCCTTTTATTGTTATGTCACAAATAGAGAGCATTTCAAAATTTCACATCACCATCACATCATTCACTAACTCAGACTATTCACTTATGTTAATAGTCCAGCTTTTATCACAGGTGAAGAAGATCATGCTGAATTTCCCCATAATAATCCTGGCATTCATCTAAGGTCTCAATCTGAGAAGCTTCATCAACGAGAAACACTCAAGAAAGTATATTTAGAAATTACTTGGACAGCCAAGCAACAGCGGCATCTAGGAAATAATGTGGATCACACTCAGTGTGTGTTTTGTAATCTCTCAGGGCACTTCTCTTTACATAACTGTGTGGCATGACAATTCAACTACATGGTTGAATTATTAGTTCCTTTTTGAGTTAGATAACGGTTAGACAACAAACACACCTAAAATATTCAGTCTCTCAAGGATTCCGTTGACCTAAATAAATTTACTTATAGGACTTCAATATGAATACATTATAAATCACACACACACACTTTTTCAAATTTGTAAATTTACTGTGTTTGAGAAGAGGCACTAGTCCATACCCCAAAAAGATTCTCTCTTGTGAATCTATGTTGCACATTACCTTACTTGATCCAACACGGCCCGGTTAAATTCAGAAAGAAATCAACAACATTTGCAATCAAGGGAGGAACCGGGAAAATCATAACCTCAGTGACAGGGTAGGAACATGAGCTGCTTTACCTCGTGACCCCCACCATCCTTCCAGGCATCATCCTCACCAAGCTTTCTCTCACGGCAAAAAAGGCTGCGTGTGGCCCCCCATAGCCCAGGGGCACTCCAAATCTCTGTGAGCTGCCCAGGGCAATGTCTACCCCAAATTCTCCAGGTGGCCTCAAGATACACAGAGCTAACAGGTCAGTGGCACAGCAGGTCAGGCTCTAGAAAGGAAACAGGAGAAAAGGGACAAGGCTGTTAATTTTCCCTGACAGTGGTGGCAAAGTAGGAAATTTTCTCAATGACAGGCAGACTGGCAGAGTTGGTTCATATTCTGTGAACTCCATTTCCTCATTCATTCATTCAACAAATATTTACTGAGTGCCTACTATGTGTCAGGAATTAGAGAATAAAACAAACTTGAAGAAAGGAGGTAAGAAGGAGAGTTTACCATTCCATGTGATGATGGTAAAGAAGTGACAACACACCAAAAGATGGATGGATGGATGGGTAGATGGATGGATAGACGGATAGACAGACAGACAGACAGACAGATAAAAGTTGGGACACACCTCTGTGGACCACCACAAATGTTGTTTGCCTACCCCAGTCTGATGGGCTCTCTCCACGAGTTCCGTAAAGTCTTCCACCTTCCCCTCGGTGTCTGGGTACTGGAACAACACTCCACTGACATCTTTTCCACTGAAGTCCATTTCATGTGGTATCTTCAGCTCGATGAGGACTCCAGTATATCTGAGAAGACAGAGGACAAAAAACAATCATGCTTTCAGTTTACAAGGAAAAATTAACTAAAGTTTCTCTTCAGTGTCCTCCCACCCCGCCCATCCCACACCTGGCTCTTCAGTCACTGCGCTTCACACCTGTCAAGGGCGAGCCACAGCTCCTTCCGTCCTCTCTTCCACCCTTACCTCCCCTCCCCCTTTCCTGCCAGAATCTGCTCCTGGGAGAGGGCCGGGAACATCGCTTCCTAGGGCTAAAGAACCACAACCTGTAACAGCAAATCCATCACCACTTTTCTCCTGGAGTCAGTCTTAGGTGACTGGAAAACCATCAGCAAGACAGGAAGAGAAACTTCCTTAGATTCCTAAAACAACTGATCAAATGTCAGAAGACCCCTCTGAAGGGAGGTCGGGAAGTGGGGGAAGAATGTCCAGCTTTCACAAAGAAGGAAGCAAACACAAGCGGTGGTTGTGCTGTTTGTTTTACCTGAGTACAGCGCTAAACAAATACAATACGCTTTCATCTACACCTCACCACACCTAAGCTTTATATGGATGCCCTGTAAACTGTGCTTGCAGAGGATACACACAAAATCTAACCGTTGTGAGCTCCATTTTTGCCCCTGTTCTGCAAACTTTCTGAAACACTGTTGAAATTATTTTAAAACTTATTATCAGGCAAAAGCAGCTAAACCCACTGCCAATTTTCCCCTCAGTCTTTCGTTTTTTGGGGTGGCTGGCTGGTTTGGGGATCTGAACCCCTGACCTTGGTGTTATCACACAGTGCTCTAACCAACTGAGCTAACCAGCCAGCCCTAATTTTCCCCTCAATTCTGACACAATTCACTTACCAGGGAAATCCCTGCAAGAAAGTGGGAGGAAAAGTAAAACTCGACAATCCCAATTTAAACCAAGTTCACCTCCACTTTGGAAGTGAGAGAGAGAGAGAGAAAGATCAGAGATTAGCATGATAATACCCTGAGTTCAAAACATGAATAAAGTAAATTACTTGGCTCGCGTCTGGACGACAGCTATTGTCTGTGGGTGGCAACGGGGGTCGACAAAAAATCTCCTCCTCTTGTTGTGCCTGTTGAAAAGAAAAAGCACATTCAAATGTGAACATTAAAGAAATCAGTATCTTCTAAGAATGCAAAGCAAATGTGGTACTTAGAGAAAAGTCTGAGCATAGTTTTAAAAAACTGCGTCATTAACGACTAATGGCATTTACTGACTGGAATTCCACTTAAATCCAATTTCCATTCTAACCCCATTTAACAAAATCGGTCTCAAAATGGTTCAAATTTTTAAAAAATATACGATGAGCAAAAAGAAAGAAAAGCAAAGGGCAATGATGACTAGGTACAAGTAAAAACAAGTTAAGGAACTCTTCTAAATAAAAACATCTGAGCATTTTATTGCCAAAGGAGCATTTAGAGATTATCTAAACCTATTGTCCTCACTCAACACAAGAGGGAAAGGACTCATAGACTGTGACAAGTGCAGGCCACATGGCTGCTAAGGGAGCAGAGCTGGGTCTGAGCCCCAGGCCCTGGGAGCTCTGCAGCCGTCCACGGCTTCAGGAAACAAAACTGATACGGATGCTTAACAGTTGG